GATTTCACCTCTCATGCCTGTTGAATTCAAGAAACCTAAAGCTCCTTTTGTTTTGAGAGGTAGGTGGCTACGGCAGACATTGGAGAGAGAGAATGCAAAGAAGTGGACAATGGTGCTGGTATGCTGATGTTGTAGGTGCAAAGGAGTACGCTAATGTTGTTGGTACTGATATGGAAAGCAGTTGCTTGGTGAAATGTCTCAAAGGGAGTCAGAGTAAGCTGTGAAGAAAGATATGAAAGAAATAGAGAGCATTTTCGTCATTTTCTGTCCACCCATGTCATTTTTCAATGCAAATAGGTCCAGATGTAATTTTGGTGATGGTCAGGGGAGGTACATGTAATTTGCCTAAAATCAATTATGTAAACTTGCAAAAATCTAATTCTCAGTGGAAACCCAATTTGCCACTCCACATTGGAGCATCATCGACATATTAGGCATTAGGTATTTTAGCCCCCCAACTTTTGGTGCCTAATAATAACTTGGGGAGTTTGAGAATAAAGCAAAAGTGGACTCATCAGCACCGGGTAAGTCATAAAAATGTGAAAAAGGCCACTTTTAATCTAATTTAAGCAGAATCTATCAAGAATTAGCATATTGCCTATCAGACTGATTAAGTTTAGCACTAATTTTCTAAACGAAAACAAAATATTATACTTTACTGAGAAAAATAAACCAGAAAATAAATCTGTTTTTTCTTTCCATAGGTAACAGCTAGAAAAGAAATCACAACATCCACAGAGGCCAAGAATGGATACAAACATAACAAGAAAAATGTTGGTAAGGACTCTCGGCAGACATTTTTCGAGTAGCTAGATTTCTCTGCGTTGCGTACAATGCTAGATGTCTAATAAATTGATGGGGTATTGATATGTGAACAATTTATAAAACACTACATAGCCATAACTACCCATGCATCTTTCTCTAAGACAATACAAAAAATCTTAACCATATGATTTTCATTAAACACCATGCAACTCTATATAAATGTTCACCATAAAGTTGAGAGAACCAATTTTTTTCCCCAACATGATGGCTACATCAGGGGTGCCCTGCCCGAGGGTGAAAACAGTATCTCTGATACCACACTAAGGGACTTTACAAACTAAGCTAGCCAAAACCTTCAAAGAAACATAATTGCATCCATATTTTAAGCTTTTCTCCCCTTCTACGTTATCATTGCCTGCCTTTTAACAAATCCAAAACAAGCTAAAAAAAGAATATACAATCCCTGGAAAGTCTACTCACAACTTTTACTGGAAGGAAGACATTAATTTCCCTAAAACATATAATTTCAGGAGCTCCAACTATTTGACCTGGTAGTTCAAACATCAAATATTTGTGAAAAACATGACTTTTTGAACTCTAACTACATAACCTAGCAGTTCATAGGCAATCCTAGTGAAGTTATACATTCTCCCTTTCCAAATCAAAAGTAACAAAGAAGAATAAGTCTTGACAATCTATGAAAATCATGCCTGGCATATACGTACTTCACAAAAAAAATAAAATAATAATAAAGTCACCTATAATAATAATAAGACAAACTAGAGAATAAGTATATTGACAACTCTGGGAGTAGAGATGACATAATCTCTAGTCAGCAATGATCATGGAAACTTGTTATTCTTAATCAGCCTGTAGGCATCTGGTCCCCAAAACCATGATGCATGTGTAATTAAGAGCATAAAGGAGACTAGAGTATGATGATCTGTTGGAGACCTAACATGGTTCAATTTTATTTTGTCAAATGTAATTAGCAATAGGTAGCTTCTATCTATCAGTGAACATCTTGACGTCAAGAGCTGCCATGTGGCCCCCACCAAAACATCACCACATTGCCATTTATTGAAACAAAGTCACCACGTGTCGGTCTCATGAGGTAAAACATGGACTAATAGCATATGCCCTCATGTACCCTTCATGGGGCAAACCATGCTGGCTGAGGCAAGTGCATGCAGTGCTCTTTGCCTAGCTCATAAGCAGAAAAAAAGTGCTGCAAACCACTCGCAGCATCACCTTCACTTGGCCAAGGACTGCCAGCTCGAGCGACCATTGCTGCTCAGCCCCCAATGACTCGGCCAGTCAACTCTCAGATCAAGCATATCCCTGTTAGTCCACCCATGTGATAAAGGTGGGTCCCATAATGTTATTAGATTACTTTATACATGTATTTGGGTTAGGATAATAGAATTCGGAATTTACTGGGAAACCTAATATATATAGAGTTTGGTTACCTATGGAAATAAGATTCTCATGGGTAGACTATTATAAATAATTATGTGGACTATAGGGTTTCTCTGAAAGACATTGAAAGTGTAGTGAGGGAAAAAATAAAATGTAGGGGGTGAGAGAAAATATACCGTGGGAACCGAGTGAGCAAGGGCTCAACTACCCTTGAGCATGAGGTTCGGGTAGTGGCATAGGTTTTGAGTATTTTGACCACCTCACATGTATTCTCTATTTCATTCATAGCAGAAGCTCTCTCTCCCGTGGATGTAGCCAATTTGGGCCAAATCACGTAAATCTGTGTATAATTGTTTTTTCTCTTTGGTGTGTGCGTGGATGCACTTTCGTTCGCATTATGGAATAAGTCCCAACAAGTGGTATCAGAATTAAAGGTTGTCAATCCTAGATGCGGTTGGTAGAGGATGAGGTTCCTACACAGAGAGGACTCGCACAGAAGAGAAAGAAGTTATGGTGGTACAAAAGGGGGGAAAAACAAAAAAAAAACAAAATTGAATAAGGTAACGCGGTGCAGACATCGATCAATTGGAACACAATGAATAGTGGAGTGCACAATTGAGGGTTTGGTTGTGGCTTTGGCTTGTCAAAGGGTTATGGTACTGCATGACAAAAAGTATAAAATCAACGATTTAGAATATTTATGGTATATCGGTGTATATATAATAGAAAATTTCAAGGCGAGTACGGTCTCTAAGGTTTTCAATTGTTGCAGATTTATCGGTACGGTCAGAATTTTCCAATTATGAACAGGGTTAAAGGGATTGAACAAATTCAAGGGCAATCAAAGGTGATTACATGTGATCTAGGCCATCTAGGAGCAATCTGGTTTAATCAATGATTCGGAAGACCAATCACTAATAGGCAGTTGGTTGGCAACTTGTACGAGTTCGTGGAGTATGCTGTGACAAGAGGGAAGCTACTGTTAAGCATCAGACGAATAATACGAGTTATGGGTGAATAATGGTAAGCAACAATTCAGGGATATTTGGTAGCCACCAAGAGGAAGACAATGGATTATAGATGTTCACAAAAGGAAGCTTCAAGTATAGAAATTAAGACGGTTTCGTGACAAAAAGGTGTACACCGAGGAAGGATGCGAGTCTCTTTCCATGAAGGTTTTTGTTCGTGGCAGTGGAGACAACTTAGGGAGGTGCAGTGAATCTCATCAGCTCGAGCGTGAGAACGAAGGAAGCCACAAAGGACACATTTGAGCACAATTGCGGGAAGTGCAAATAACATGGACACTTGGTTCAAGGGGTGCAATATCTTCTAGGTGAAGGTAGAGTATATTACGCAAACCAGAACATCCAAGTTAAAGGATGCATATAACATTTACCTCACATGGATGAAGGGGGCGATTGTTAGTCCACCCATGTGTTAAAGATGGGTCTCATACAATTTTTAGATCGGTTTATACATGTATTTAGATTAGTATAGTAGAATTCGAAATCTACTAGGAAACCTAATATATGTAGGATTTGGTTACCTAATTGTATGGAACTAAGATTTTCGTGGGTAGAGTATTATAAATAGTCATGTAGACTATATGGTTTCTCTGAGTGAGATTGAGAGAGTAGTGAGGGGAAAAATAGAGATGTAGGGGGTGAGAGAAAAAATACCGTGGGCACCAGGTGAGCAAGAGCTCAACTACCCTTGAGCATGAGGTTCGAGTAGTGGTGTAGGTTTTGAGTGTTTTGGTCATATCACATGTATTTTCTATTTTATTCATAGTGGAAGCTCTCTCTTGTGTCGATGTAGGCAATTTGGGCCGAACCACGTAAATCTGTGTGATTGCTTTTTCTCTTTGGTGTGTGCATGGGTGTGCTTTTGTTCGCATTGCGGGATCTTAAATAAATCCCAACAGTCCCCTGCCACCCTTGTATCTCCCATGGCAATCTGCTCAAGACTAACTCAACCTAATGGGTTATGCTAAACCATTTGGTGTAGAACATAACAGAGAGAAGAGAGATAAAACACACAAATGGCATAGCCTGAATGCACTCTCAATATTATAGAAACGAGAGCTAAATAAAAAAAAAAGTCAAAACCTAAGGCCTAAGGCTATGTTTGGCTACATTGAACCCCGAAGGTTCAACTCCCATATATGAGGAAGATAAGCTATTTGCTCTCCTCTAACATGCTCGGAAGCTCTCTCTCTTTACTGCCATCACATTTCCTTCTAGGGTTGCCTCAGCTCCTACCTTCGACCTCCACCTCCAAGGGTCCTTTACCATCTCATTGCATACCATCTTCCCAAGAGGTCACCACTTCAGCCTCAATAGTTGGCGATACCCAAGTGAGAGCTAACCTCTCCATCCAATAGAAACAAAGAATCACCTGAACAATAATCTAATAATAACGCCTATGATCTCACTCATATATTTATAGTTCAGTTAATGTCTTCGTCTTAGGAGGTCAAACATCAATTGTCCATTACTCCAACAAATTCGTATATCTAATTTGTTATCTCTTCAAAACAAAGGGTGTAGTCAGAACTTGAAATATGCATTTGGGAATCATTTGTTGTTTTCTGTTGTGAACTTACCTTCTGTTCTTCTTCCTCTTCAACCTCCTCTCAAAATGCAACTTGGTTTAATTTCTACCCTTTTAATAAATCAAATTCTACTTGCTTAACCAATGGGTAAAAATTTAAAGGTCATTCAGCTTCCAAATGCCACAAGACTAACTTCAAATGAGATAACAAATTTGAAAACAATTTGCAAAAAAACAAAACCAATCAAGTCCAAAAAGCTCACCAAGAAGAGGGCTACAGCAACTGTGGCCTGAACAAGCTGTTGGAGAAGAACACCCTTGACAACTGAGCACAATGGCACCAAATTCTTCTCTTCCTCCTCCTTCCTTGTGTGCATACGATAGTTGTCTAGAGGCGGCAACAGCTGATAAAACCCAGCGTACAACCAGTACACTACAATAGGGGCAAAAGTCCCCATTGCTTCATCACTCACATAACCTTCCCAAAACACCATGATTTAATTAACTAAATCCAAACCCTCACAAATCCTATTAAAAAATAAAGTTCAAAATTTTAATTCTTGAACCTGCATTACACCCTTCAGATCACATGTATGCCCTGTAAATACTAGAAATTCGAATGAAAAATCAGAAACTTACAACATTTGATATATGTATAATCACAGTCAGTGAGAGAGTGACTTACGAAGATCGTGATTGACGAAGGGGTTCGAGAAATCGTCAATCAGATCTAGGGCATTGTTGGGCTACATAGACGTGAACCTATAAATCTTGGTTGATCTGAGATTCGCTGGCAAAAAGACGGCAACGCGGGACAGACTAATGATTTTTCTTCAACTTTTAGCCTGGTTTCAGATTTTTGTTTTTTTTCGAATAAAAAAAGAAAACATTTCTCATGGTTTGAGTTTTTTGAATTAAGTTTTTTGAAAATTGAGTTTTTTAATTTTCATATTCTTTTGCTTTCGGTGAATATTTTTAAAATTTTAAACATTTTTTTTACTTTTTTAGATGCACCTTAGTAAGATCTATCTAAAAAGTAAAAATTTTGTGAAAAAATATTTTAAAAAATTAATAAATATATAAAAATACAAAAAAAAAGTACTGAATTCTTATATTTTTTTTGTATTTTTGGTATTTAGTAAATTTTTAAAAGATTTTTTTTACAATTTTTTTACTTTTTAGGTGTATTTATGTTAGGTGTGTCTAAAAAGTAAAAAAATTGCTTAAAATATTAAAAAAATTCAATAAAAACAAAAAAACACAAAAAATAAGAAAATAGAATTTTCTGAAAAGTGTTTTCTGAAAAATTAAAACAAGCAAGCTGATTGCTCTCAAATCTCATTTAGAAAAATATTACTCCATTTAATTCTATATATTTTTTTATAAACAAAATAGTCATTTTCATTTGTAATATGTATTATTGATTTGGTTTAGTAATATTTGAGTTTACTTGTTTGCCCCTTATTGTGATTATATTTTTAATGTTTTTTTGGGATTGAGTGTATATGGAGAAGGTATGATTTAACATTTCTATATATTTTTTGGGGATTTCGTGGAGTGATTGTGAGGATTATCGATATTACTTACTTGGTGTTACATTATTGATATTAAATCATTTGCGCTTTCCTGAGAAGGTGTGTGGGTTGTAACGTCCACATTTACCTACATAACATTAACCCAAAGCCACATTGTCATACCATTAAGCCTCCCACTAACAACCTATAACATTAGCACAAAACACCAACCACATAACACAACATCGACACAGCTCTACAATCCCCGATAATCAATAGCCACTATTTCTTACTACCACCAAACCACACCAACACTTTTAGGCATACATCCTCCAACTAGGCCCCAACATTACAAAATATACACCCAATCATAAAAACATTAGCTGACACCATGCATTTGTTACATTACATACATGCACAACATTACATTTGCAATTACTTGTAACCCCCAAACCCGAGAAAACATTACAACATTAACCAACAAAATCATGTGTCTGTCACATTACAAACATGCACAACATCACATTTGCAATCAATAGTAAACCCCAAACCTACGATATAAATAAGATCACCTAAAACCCCATATGATGCACCAATTAAGCAACAACCCATTTCGAGCATCAACCTTGATGTCATATTGTTCCACAAACAAACTAACATCGAAGATATCCATACTTGTTGTCATCACACTACCACGCGATCACCGATGCCGTCGACGGATTAATTTTAAATCGCCTACGTGACGTCCTCAATGTTAATCGCACTCTAAGATGTCTCAGTGCCCACGTCGCTTCACCTTTGTACATTTGATAGAAAGGGTTTCCATAATTTTCTAGGGTTTTTTTGGGGATTTTGTAATGTTGTTTGGGGAATAACGAATTCTGAATATAACGTTCCCAAATCCAGCGTTCAACTTTCACAAACTGAGGATCAACACTACAACATTGTTAAGGAAACGTTGATGTTCCCATTTTTGAGCTTCCGTTTTGTTCGCAATAAAGAGAGAAGGAAAAAAATGTCATAGTATACTTTTGGGCCCCGTTTGTTTTGGGATATAAAGGATGGAATGAGATTAGGATGAAGGTGGGGGCTATTTAGTGTTGTGTTTGTTTGTAGAGTTGGGAAGGGATTAGGATGGAGGAGGGGATTAAGATAGAGGTTGGAAGGAGGATTGAGATGGAAGAGGTGGAGATAGTATTAGAAAAACAGGGAGGGGATTAGAAATTTTTTTATTTTTTACATATTGGGAATTTTTTTTAACATTAATGTTTAATTTTTTTTATATTTTTTAATTTATTTTATATAAAAATAATTTAACAATTCCTACGCTAACAAATATCATCAAAATAAACACAATTTTACTTAATCTCCTCACTATCAATCCCTTCACTAATAATCACTTTACTATTAGGCCCCGTTTCTTTTGGGTGTTGGAGATGGAATGGGATTAGAATAGTGGTGGGGTCCACTTAATATTCTGTTTGTTTGTAGAGTTTAACAACGGATTGATAAGCCGGAGGCTTGAAGATGGGCCTTTCATACAGGTTTCATAGTCTACCCCAACACATGGTATTGAAAATTTAGTCCGTTGGTATTAGGGGAGTGATTACTTATTTACCCATCGTTGCCCTAGCTCATCCTTGGAAGAAACAGCAGGAGGAGGAAGGAGAGGTAAAGAGAAGCTCTCATCTTCTACATCAAAGTTTCAATTTAAAAGATTCAATCTACCCTACTTATCCTTGGAAGCAACAACAGCAAGAAGGAGAGGCAAAAAGAAGCTTCCTTCTCTTCTTCACAGTGTGCCCTAGCTCTCTCTCATCTTCAGATTTTCAATCTTCAGATTCAGTAAAGCATCTGCTGTATCAGTAATTTTTTTTTTTTTTTTTTTGGTTAAGCAAGTTATTATTAACTTGGTGGTTGGAATTGGGTTTTGTTTCAAATTGGGTTCTGCTGCATCTGTTTCAAATGGCTTTTTTTTTTTTTTGCATTTGGGGTTTGAATGATATATTTTTTACACATTTGGGGTTTTGATTGCTGGTAATTGCTGGCAATGTGCAATTTTATTTTAATGGAAAAAGTACAGCAACCAAATAATGAGCAAATACTCAATTGTTAATTGCAATAGATTTTCTTATCTGCACAATAATAATCAAACCCATCAAAAGATTGGTTCAGACATCCAGCTGGCCAAATTTTTGACGATGAAAATATGGAAATCCTCTTTAATTAACTAGATGTCTAGATGACTTATCAAAAGAGAGAAGAAAAAAAGCTGTCTAGATCCTTTTCCATTAATATTCTTGTCTTAAAAAAATTTAATCTATGACAACATCAGGAAAAATTCATATATCTCCACCTCTTTAGTGGGTACTTGTATAAAAAGTTTCGAAATTACCTTTTCTGGCCTATGCATGCTGTAATTGTCGATAGTGGATTTATATGAATCCCAATGTTTTTTTGCCATTGTGCTTAACATATTGAGTTGGATTTCGAGTGCTGAATTTGCCTCTGATAACTTTCTCCAAGTTTCCAGGGCCTTTTGAGGCTTAAATTTTTCCACTTCTTGATAGCACCCACCATTGATACTGTGGATGATCCTCCAGCTCTTGGTTCTCCTGGTAACTCCATATGCATCACAATCACTAAAAGCAACCAATAAAAAAACTGTGTTCCCATGGTTTCCAGGGAACATAAAGAAGCTCTTACCAAGTGTACACCATTTTTTCAAAAAATGGAAAAAATAGTAAGTTGTATAGAAAATTAAGAATGTTGGTTAAGTCAAAGTCTTATATGTTTCACGTCTAGCCAGTGGGGTCCTAATAAGAAAGTTGCTTTGATTAACAAAATATGTTAGGAAAGGGAAGTTGCATTTTGTCATCTTAGTGCCATATAACATATCCAAGTCTGCCAATGAGTATGCATATGAATGTGTATCAAGTATGATAAATGCCAATGTACTCACAATTAGGTTATTGCCTTGCCAACACCCTCTATCCCCTACCAACACCCTGAAATCCTGAATTGACAAGAGCACAATTAGGTTATTGCCTTCTCAAGGGAAGAGGTCAGTGACTAATGATTAAATTAATAGTCATTGAAAGTTTCAAATTTAATTACATAATTTCAAACTTTAACATTATGGAATGTGTTTCTCATGAAATGAACTACATACATACCATGTTTTCCTCATTCTAATATAACTAATAAAAGAGTATGAGAATGGAAAATTCAAATAATGGGTTTGTATCATTCTTGTAAGAAAAAGGACTATTCTTGTAAGAAACTGCCCCTTTTTTTCTTGAGTAAAAACAGGGAACATATTTACCTATTAAAGTTCTTTTTCATATATTTCTGCACTAGTGTTTTAATGGCATCTACTATAGTCAAAGATTGTGTATTATAACTAAATGTTTAAGTTAGATTTCCATTGAAAATAAATATCTTTCATTTTCTTTGATGTCTTTTCTATTTCTTTTCTGTAGGAAATTAATACTACTTTCACATTGTTAACATGTGGTATGAAAAAATTTGAACAATGCTCCACTTGGTAATTTTTTGCGTAGTTTTTTCCTTTGTTTTTCATTGAATCTTTTTCTCTATGTGGCTTTTTGGCCTTTACACTTTGTTTTATGGTAGTCAACAGTTTCTATTATTTGTTTTACTTTTTGTGCTGATTTTAGCTGCTTATTGTTTATTCATTTTTTGTAGATGGATAATTATGCCACTAAGAAAGGGAGAAAGGACCTGATAGAGGAATTTGTAGCCCTGCAACATGTTGTTTCATCCATTAATTATACATGTGCTATGTATATAGTGATTTTACATGTATATAGTGATTTTACATGCTGCATTCAAGAAGAAAGAAATTAGGTTGCAACTATCTAGATCACCTCGCCCCTATGGAAAACAAATTGATCATTTGAATAGATTAGTCAACGATAGTGACATAAATTGTCACGACCAACTTCGGATGAATAGCCGTACTTTTATGCTTTTATGTGGGTTGGTGCGAAGCGTTGGATTGTTTGATTCAAAGTATGTCGCCTTAGAGGAGCAAGTAGAAATGTTTTTGAATGTGCTTGCACATCATACTAAGAACCGCAAAATTTAATTTAATTTCATGCGGAGTGGTCAAACAATTAATAAGCACTTCAATAATGTTCTCAAGGCGGTGTTGCGCCTCTATGGTCTTCTCCTTAAGAAACCTAAACCAATAACTGCTAATTGTACAGATGATAGGTGGAGTTGTTTTCAAGTACAATATATTTACAACTTTGCTTAATTAACATATTATATTTTTGTATTGCCTATATTAATTTTATAATATTATTT